GAAACTCTAGCAACGGGTTTATCCCATTTTGAGCTATAAAATGGAACCCAAATCCTCTCATTTTACACACAATTCTTCAACATTTCAATACTCTTTCATTGCATAAGCATTCTTATTTTTCTTAGCTATTTGAGAGCCAATTCTTGAAGAAATTGTCGTGTTCTTGAGCGTTTACTAGTTCACTCATATCTACTCTTTGTGAGAGTTTTATTCCTGAGTGTTTAAGTGTTTTCATACACTTTAAGAGAGGTTGTTCCCTTGTTGTGAACTCGAAGGAAGTTCGCTGTTCCTTCGTGAGAAGTCTTGGAGTGCGGTATCTCCGAGCAAAGGCGTTGAGGCTCGTGTGACTCGGGTTCTCAAGTTGTATCGGTTTGTTAAGCACCCTTAAGCTTAACGGAGTTAGTGTAGCGCGAGAGAGTCTCTCGGGAGGCTGGATTAGACACACGTTGTGGTGAACCAGGATAAAATTCGGTGTGCTCCTTCCTTACGCTCTTTACTTTAACGCTCTCATTTTAATTTCATGCGATTTTGTTTTAAACGCTATTCACCCCCCCTCTAACGTTGGGCCTTTATTCTAACACAAACTGTTATACCCAAGCTCAGGGTTTTATAGGCACAATCTTGTTAATGGCAGGGAAGGGGAGATAATTGATTGTCCAAAGTGGATAATCGATTATTAAGGGTCCGTTTGATATAAGGAATTGGTGGAATTGGAATAGAATTGGAATTGGAATTCCATGGGATTCAATTCCATAGAATTGAATTCTGTCAATTTCAATTCATTTTTTGCACTATCAATTCCAAATCCACATAATTTTTGTGCTATCAAACACCAGAATTGGAATTGAAGTCTCCAATTCCAATTCCATTATTTGAATTCCATATACCAAACGGAACCTAAGGGCTTCAGGTTCTTGGGCAATTTTCTGGGGATTTTATGAGAAGGGGGATAATCGATTTACAGAAGGGTGTCAATCGATTATTGAGAGTTGCGGGTTTCTGGGAAAGGCTGATAATCGATTATCTGAGAGTGATAATCGACTATTGAAGGCTGCAGGTGTTTCACGAAGGGTGGTTAATCGATTAATAGTGGTGATAATCGACTATTTGGCAATTCGGGACAGAAAAAAAAGGTATTTCTTTGGGAAGGGGAACAAGCCAAGTTGGTGTTAAGGGATATTACACACTCTTATCTTAACTTGGGGTTGAGTCTAGCATTCAAATAAGATATAACACACTTATTTAAATAGGTAGAACCTAAAACTCACACTCAAAAGAACCACTCTTAAGATATAGGATTAGGAATTTGGAATGAAACACACAAGTGAATCACTTTGATTTAAAATGGAATACAATGTGTTTTACAATGGCCTATGGCCGAGATATATATAAGCACACCAGGGGGAGAGGGAAGCTTCCTAGTACATTCACTTATTTGGGGAATAATGTCCACTTATTTTAATGGAATGAAAACAAAGGAGAAGGGTGAGGTTGTGGGGGAGGATGTTTCGGCCTGGTGTGGGGAGCAAGGGGTGGAAAATGAGACTCACTTATTTGGTTGGAAATGGGGATTCTTTTATGGTGGGTTTTGGTGGATTATGCACGGCCCAGGTGGGGAAACAAGGAAGGAGGGAGATGGCAGGCCTTTTGGCTTCTTATGAGTTGGGTTTTCTTGATGAATTATGAGCCAATATATGCTAAATTGTTCTTGGCCTGTTATGGTTGTTTATTCTGCTTGGTTGGGGGAACACAAGGGGACCACTGCTAGTACACATTGGAGAAATAATGGGTTGGGTTTTGGCTCCTAGTTTTCGGCCATTCCAGGGAAAAGAAAAGGGTTTGTGGATTTAGCATGTGGTTTGAAGTGTGATGAGGTGTTGTGGGGGTGTGTGTGGGTTCGGCCAGGGTAAGGGTAAAAAAAGGAAGGGACTTGGGTTTGATTTGGATATTTGGGAGGGGTGGTTTTGGGTGGTACTTTCGGCCATCAAGGTGGGGGAAGGTCCAACAGGACCAGGGTCGGGTTATATGGTTTATGGGTGATGTATTCATTCCAAAAAGGATTAAAACACTTGAACATTATTCCACAGATTTGTTTAAGGGCTCGAGGATCGTTGATGGTGCTCGGGGGTATATCACAAACTTGTTGGTTTTGAGTGTTTGCAGGAGCTTTACAAGGAGGATGAAGACTTCAAAGACACTTATTCTAAGTGTTTTATCTCGACCCCATGGTTAATTCCTTATCAAAGATGGTTATCTTTTCCGTGGTAATCAACTATGCATCCCGAAGTGCAGCATTCGCGAAACCCTTATCGATGAAGTCCACGGAGGAGGCCTAGCTGGTCATTATGGAGTCGACAAGACTGACATGATGATGAGAGAACACTATCACTGGCCTAAGATGGAGCGAGACGTAGAGCACTTCATCAAACATTGCAATACTTGCCATTTAGCCAAAGGACATTCGCTGCCCCAAGGAAAGCACCTTCCCCTACCTGTACCCAATGTACCATGGGAAGACATTATGTTATACCCCTGGATGGCTCCACCAAAATCCCAACCCCTCCCAACATATTCAAAAGTCTTTTATCTTTTCTTTGTCCCAAAATAAAGCCTTTGCCATCTATATTATTCCCTGGTTAATAATAAGAAACCAAAACCTTTTGTTGTTGTTATTTTCCTTCTTTTAATAAACAAATAAAAACCTTTTCTCCCTCCCTTTGAATCCCTTGCCAAAAACCCCATGCCACAACCCTGCCAATACCACTCTCTTACACCTCAACTTGGCTAAACAAACAGCCATAAAATCCAAGACACCTTGACCCACACCCACACCCTTCAACCCCCATGTCTTTACCCCATATCCAGCCCAGGAAATACCTCCAAATAACCTGCTATCCCACCCCTTTTTCTCTTGCCCAAAACAACCCCACCTAAGCCAATCAATTGTGAATTATATTCACATATTCCCTCGCACCACTAATGGCCAAAAATCCTGCCCTACAAGTACAACCTATCCCTGATTTTTCTCCCCACCAAAGGGACAACAACAAGTGGAGGTCATGCTATTGATTTAGGAGAATAAGATAGGAAGTTTCCTTATGTCTACATTCAATGTATTGTGTATTTCTTCCCCCTTCCCCTGCCTATATATAAATCAGGCCCTATGGTCATTGTAACACAATCTCTGAATATTGAAAATCTTTTACTCTTTGAGTATTATTAAAATAGTGTGATGCTATTTTAGCCAAATTCCTAATTCTATATCTTAAGTGTGAGTTTTAGGTTCTAGATATTTAATTAAGTGTGTCATATCTTAATTAAATTCTAGATTCAAACCCCAAGTTAGGATAAGAGTGTGTAATATATCTTAAACACCAACTTGGTTTATCCATTTCATATCCCCCCATTTCTCCTCTTAATCTCACTCTTTTCTTCCAATTAAAATACCCAAAAGAACTCCCTCATCATCTCCACAAATCCCAGCCATTCCCACACAAGCACCACTATTACCCGCCCAGGTTTCCTGATCCTGATTGCCTTGATAATCGATTATCACACATCAATAATCGATTATCTAACCCTTTAGAACACTCCAGGAATAATCGGCGAAGCCCAATAATCGATTATCAACTTTGATAGTCGATTGTCTGGCCCCTCTGAATTCTCGTCGTCTAGGCCATACAACCAAAT